ATCTTATTTATTTTGATATTTTAGTTATACATTTATATTTTATTAATTTTGTTTTATTTTATATATTTATACTAGAAAAATATATATTGTTTTCTACGGGTGTTAAATGTTTTGCAAATTGATCTCCATTAAAAAAAATATAAAATATCAAAATTAATCAATTAATATAAATGCACATCTTTTACAACTGAAAAACTCCTTAGACGTAGTTATTCGAATCGTTATCATTTGTTGACTTGAATGTTATCATTTGTTGACTTGAATGAAATAAGCTATCAGGAACCAGCGAGACCCGATTCTTTCTTCAACAATTAATTATAATGCACATTCATATATTAATTATTTTTTATGTTTTTTTATAATTGTATGATAATTTAAAGAAACCAATAGTAACGTTTATATTAGTATACATATCCTAAAATAATATAATATATTTTATTATTATTTATATTTATATTAATATACATATCCTAAATAGATGTTATATATTGTTTTCCCATAACATTTTAATCTATATATTAATATACACCCATAGATACATACACACACACATACACACATATATCTATATATAAATATATATTATCCTTTACATACTATCACACCCTACTTCATTTCCAACACCAATGCATCAAAAACATGGGTTCGTGAACCAACTGTTAACAAGACTACTCATGGACGTCTCTTGTTGAATGATAAACTTTTCAGAAAACCTCATGTTGATCTGTCCTTTACAGCTAAGGTTGATCCATCTTTTACAACTCATGTTGATTTGTCTTTTACAGTTGAAAGACCCCTTAGACGTAGTTGTTCGAACACATTATCATTTGTTGACTTGAATGAAATAAGCTACCAGGATCCAGCGTGACAGAGTTCTTTATTCAACAATAATTATAATTCGCATCCATATATTAATCAATTTCCTGAAATGTTTCACCCTTACATCAGACATGTACATGATGTGAGAGGTGATAGAAATTGTGGATTCCGAGCAATAGTTGTCCACATTGGTTTTCATGAAGATGCATGACCAACAATTTGGTTTAACTTGATGGAACAGTTAGACGTATACAAGACATAATATCTCAACATATTTAGAAGTCAGTATTGGAATATAGTTTACAATATTTTAAACTTCTTTCAATTAAACCGAGGTGTCTCGGTTGAACATTGGATGACCATGCCGAAAATTGGTGTATTGGTTGCTTCAAATTATAATGTGATCTTACACGTTATAGACATTACAGGTTGTTTAACATGCTTACCGCTTAGGTCTACTCCGTCACCGTGGTATCAACATGTAAGTTTTGCAAGTGGGTACGTTAATCCTAACCATTATGTGAAACTAAACTTGGCAGAAAAATACCCGATCCCTACTATTACTCCACATTTTTTTTATTTCTGTTTTCCGTGTGCTGCTGTGTGAGCTACTCTATATTTGGATCGAATAAATAAGTAACAACAACTTTTACGTGTTAATTGTACTATGAATAATGTTATTTTAGAATAAGTGAAAATGCAATATATATATATATATATATATATAT